GCTATTACGGACACGGTGGAAGAATTTAAGTAGATTTTGACACATCCGGAGCTCTTGCATAATGTCTAGTGATTCATAGAAATGTAAAGATACTACTTGGCAGAAGACCTCACCGTCATTGTAAAGTTTTAAAATCTGTGGTCAACCTAAACATTTTTGGAATGCGGTGCTTGTAAAAAAAATGGATCTGGTATCTTGCTGTAGCTATTCCTTGCCTTCTGGTGCTTGCGCCTTGGAAAATACACAGCAGCCTGCTTTGCATGTTACTGTATTTTCTCCTCTAACTGTTTTATTTTCAGTGGTTTCACTGAGAATTGTGCTAAACACCTCTGTCTTTGTACAGGACTCTGAAATCTCTGAGAAATTTGGCTCTGATTAGATTCTTATGTTGTTTTTGCCCAGTCAAATACATTTCTTAAGCAGAATCACAAAATGAAGTCTGAGGGATATCATTTTTACCATTTATTCGTTGGACTGCATTGCATATATTGAAAATGTTGGCTGTTGCCTATTTTTAAAAGATTCTGTAAAGGAGCATGTCTCTTTGATCCTAAGTGTGCCTTTATGTTTTGTGCATTCAGTGACCCAGTATTTCATAGCATTTCTTATCAGCCATAAGAGAAAATGAACAAAAACTAAACGCATGAGTCATTATTTGCTGAAAGGATCTTGTATTCTCGTTTTTATTGTGCTTCTCAGAGTGAACATCTATGATTTTTGTTTTGCAGGGATTTAAGGTTTTTGCTAGTGAATATCGGAATAAATGTGCAGTTGTCTCCTTTTGCTGTTCTTTCAACTGGAAAGTACAATGCAGCCCCAGCATGTACTCTCTAGTTCTGATAATGGCATGGAAAGTATGGAGCTTTAGAAAATAGCAAACTAAATACTACAGCTATTAAAAAAACAAAAACCAAAAACCAAACCAAAAACAAACAACAAACTGCAAATCTGCCCCTTTCTCTGCAAAAAATCCCAACGCAATAAACAAAACGAAATCCGCAAAGAAAATTGCCACCAACTTTAGCTTTTCCAAAAATAAGGGAATTTAAAGAATATAGAAACACTTTGACACTGAAGCTGCTGCTCATACAATTATTTCATCGGATAATGAATTTTGAAGAAGATAGATTAAATGAGCTCTATAATCTGCATGATAAAATTTTCAGAAAGATAGACTAGGTGCTGCAGAGATAATCTTAATTCTAAATATTGGAAAAATATAATTTATTCAGATTGTGGTATTTTTTCTACTTTATGCTGGTTATAGAATATTTGCTCAGTCTTCTTGGTTTGTAAGCGATGCTATGCATTATAAAAGCTATGTTGTTTAAAAACCTCTGGCTAACAAATTCACATGTTTTTCAATACCATAAACAGTGGTAAAAAATTCTAAGACTGTCTCAGCCATTTACTTCATGGGCATTTTGAATTTTGGTAACTGAGAAATTTCCATATGTGTTTCTTTGGAAATGAGACAAATGTAGATGCAGCCTTCCAAAGGGGACAGAGAGCATCTTTCTTTCTCTCTCTTCCCAGTTTTTGGTCCCATAGTCATGTTACACCTTACACTGTTCCCATTTGACAAGAAAAGTTGCACTTTTTAACTACAAGCACAACGTGTTTTAGCTTATCTTCCTTTATTTCAGAAGTATTTCAGAAATATTTGCAGATCATTTGCTGTTTCAGAAGTAGTATAATCTGACATTCAGGAAAAGATTAAATTCTAAATGCATTTATCTAGCTGTGTTTGTTTTGATGTTTGTTATTGAAAATTTACCAGAAATATCTCTTACCGAACAGAGTGCAGAAAAATAGTAATATTTGGTTTTATGTAAAGGTTTAAATCTTGATCTGTGTGTGCTGGGCCAATGAGTTCATAAACATGCTGTTCATGGACAGTTTTGATGTTAGCTGTTTGAGCACTGAAAATTGGCTTGCAGTGAAGCTGTCTCATGACATTGTCAACACGGCTGGTTAAAAGATTTGAAACTTTATTAAACTGATGGCATGGCTGAGCATCGTCTCAGCCAACTTTCATCTCACTGACAGGTCTCCTGACATATTTTGAAAATTGGCAGTATCTATTGGTCATGCCCAGAATTACAATTGAAATTGTCTGTTTGGACATCTTTGTCCTTCCAAGCTCAGCCTCTTCACCAGCGCTTTGTTTTAGCTGCATAAAATAAGAACTGAAGTTACCTGCATGTAGACATTTTCCCTGATGTTTTGGTTTTCTTCTGAAAATACAGCTTAGTGTGAGACACAGCAGTTAGATATCTCTCTTTTTTGAGGAATGTCTTTATTTATTTTTTTCAGACTTCGGAATCTGGTTTTCTTTTGCAGATGCCACGTTGCTATTCAGAGTGATTTTAATAAATATCAAATTAAGCTTTGTTAAAAAGATGTATCTTGCACTTGGCCCACTACTTTGAGGTTTTTTTCATTTAGTTGTCTTAATTTCTTTATTTAGTTATAGCAACGGCAATGAGTAAATTAGAGGTTTCAGTACCGACAATCAGAAAAAAATGATCCAATGGTACATGATGGAACTATATCCTGTTTTCAGTTTTTCTTTTGAAAAATCCCATCCTTAAATCTTGTTGTCATCTCTTGAATTCTTAAGGTATGACAGGATAGGTGGACTTGATTTGATTATTTTGATTTTCAAAGGGCTTTGAAACTTAACTGCTCCCAGTCCAGAGCAGGTAAGTTTTGTGTTGCTCACCATCTCCACTACCAAACCTGTGTGAGGAGAATCATAGAATCATAGAATGGTTTGGGTTGAAAGGGACCTTGAAGATCACCTAGTTCCAGCCCCCTGCTATAGACAGGGCACTCCTCCCTCTAGACCAGGTTACTCAAAGCCCCATCCAGCCTGGCCTTGAATGCTTCCAGGAGGGGGCATTCACAACCTTTCTAGGCAACCTGTTCCAGTGTCTCACCACCCTCACAGTAAAGAATTTCTTCCTAATATCTGATCTAAATCTGTCCTCTTCCAGTTTAAAGCCGTTTCTTATTGAAGCAATGATAACAGGGTATGAAATGCAGTCACTGAAAACTGCTAGTGGTGTAGAATGGTTCTCTTACTCTGTAGGTTGATTAAAGTAAATATAAAAAGAGAAACTTTAAAAAAAATAAATAAATCAGTGGTCTTGAAACAAGGTCAATTTTTGTTTCAACTCTTCTCTGTTTTGTTATATAATCTATACCGAATATTTCAAGAGAATGTCCAGATTCATTAGTGCTTCACCATATTACAGTCTACTCTGAAAAAAATGCATCACGCTATAGCTGGGCTTTATTATTTTAAGAAAGTGTTTATATAAGCAATTTTTCACTTGAATTTCAGCAGTTCAGGCTCCTGTTTGCCTGGATGTTACAGAAAAACTATAAATAGGTTTTAAATCTCCAGCAGCATTTCTACTTAGATATAAGTAATAAGAGGAAAGTAGCTTTTCTGGAGAAGAAAATCTCTCTAAAAGTAATGGGTTTGGACAAAGCCTTGAAATACAGACTCAGATGTTTGGTACTTTTGAGAATCTCATCCTCCTAGCTAGAGGAAATTTACTGATACCAAAGCCACTAAGTAGGTTTCCTAATGCAATGAAGAGAATCTCATTTAGAGTGAGTTGGAACTGTGCTCTGTATTTCTTGCTTCTCTTTCCAATTTTTTCCGTGATGGAGTTTCTTTTGCACTTGCACAGGTGAATGTTTCTTCCTTATGTCTTTCCATTCCCTCTTTTGTGGAAGGTGCAGAGAAATAACCTGGAGGTGGTCGTGTTTTGGTTGTGCAGTACACTCCTATTGTATAACTTTGTCTGAAGTTACTGGGAATTGTGTCCTCCTTTGCATTTATACGTTTGAATTGAAAATGGAGATTTCATCTTCGCTTCACCTATTACTTTTTTTATCTATTTGTCACTGAAGTAACAAATGCAGAAGATTTAAATGTTACTGTTAGTTACAGTAAACATGTATTGGTGCTACCTGTTTTGTGACTTCCATGGTAGAGACCATGGATAAACTGCATCAAAGCTTCTTATACAGCTTCAGCATCAGAAACTTTGCACAGCCAGTCACTTCTTTAGCGTTATTATCCTTGTGATTCTACCTTGGGCTTGTATGCAAGGCTTTTGCTCTTGTGCTCTTTGCTTTTTACCTTGTGTTCTGCACCCTGCAATACAACATAAGATAGCATGTTATGTCATTTCAATTGCAAAACCAATTGTTATTAACTTCAGAGTAATTGTATCACTATTCTTTAGTGTTCTACTTACTGCAGGGAAAATGTGCGAGTCATTTTAAACCAAGAATTCTGTGATTCTTCTAATCAAGCTACCTTTTTAAGTCTTGTTGTTTGCTTTGTGTCCCCTTCTGTGATATGGTTGTTTCAATTTTGTCTCCCGTGATGATCTTGAATCATTACTTAAGAAAAGCCTCCATACATCTGGTTTACATGAAGAAATACTGTTCAGCCCAAAGTCTGCTTTTTTATTGCCTTTTCTCAATGGGATGTCATAAAAGATGACCTGAAAAAATACCATGTTCTCTGAGGAAAAAAGAGCTCTGTAGATAAGTGCTTTTGAAAAAAGTTTTATTGGAAGTTCTGATGCAAACAGCTCTAATGGAAGAAGTCTGATTTGCAATTGAACATAATTGCTGCACTGTGCCTGAAAGCCTCTTGTCAGAAGGCGGATAGTGCAATACGTAGGTCTTGGATCCCTGGTGTTGATAATGATGTGATTTTACTATTATCACAAGATATGTTTGAAGGCAAAGAATAGGAATATGTGCAGATTGACTAGAGTAGCTTTGAAAAAAAAGAGAAGCATATTTATACCATAGAATGGCCAGAGTTGAAAGGGACCACAATGATCATTTGGTTTCAACTCCCCTTCCATGGGCAAGGTCGCGAACGCCAGAACAGGCTGTCCAAAGCCACATCCAGCCTGGCCTTGAATGCCTCCAGGGATTCACACAGGGATCCAGGCATCCCCAACCTCCTTGGGCAACCTGTTCCAGTGTGTCAACACCCTCTGTGTGAAAAACTTCCTCCTAATATCTAACCTAAACCTCCCCTGTCTCAGATTAAAACCATTTTCCCTTGTCTTATCAGTATAAACCCTCATAAACAGCCATTCCCCTTCCTTTTTATAAGCTCCCTTCAAGTACTGCAAGGCCACAGTAAGGTCTCCCTGGAGCCTTCTCTTCTCCAAGCTAAACAATCCCAGTGCTCCAGCCCTCTTCTGGACCTGCTCCAACAGCTCCACATCCTTCCTGTACTGGGGGCCCCAGGCCTGGACACAGTATTCCTGATGGGGCCTCACAAGAGCAGAGTAGAGGGGGGCAATCACCTCCCTGTCCTTGCTGGCCACCCCTCTTTTAATGCAGCCCAGAACACAGTTGGCCTTCCAGGCTGCAAGCACACACTGCTGGCTTGTGTCCAGCTTCTCATCTACCAGGACCCCCAAGTCCTTCTTTGCAGGGCTGCTCTCAAGGAGATCTTTTCCCAGTCTGTATAAATACCTGGGATTGCTCTGGCCCCAGGGGCAACTCTTCGCACTTGGTCTTGTTGAGCCTCATTAAGTTCACATGCCTGTCTAGGTCCCTTGGATGGCTTCCCTTCCCTCCAGTGCATCAACTGCACCGCTTAGCTTGGTGTCATCTGCAAACTTGCTGAAGGTGCACTCAATTCCGTTGTCTGTATCATTGATAAAGATGTTGACGAGCACTGGTCCCAAGACTGAGCCTTGAGGAACGCTGCTTGTGACCAGCCTCCATTCTGACATAGAACATAAGAATATAAGTATACTGCTTTTTATTTGCACCTTTTTGTTATGCTTGTTTTAACTTATGTAAATGTGCACTGCTATCATTTGTAATGAAAAAGGTAGTCCTTTCATACAAAGAGTGTTTCTCTGTGACTTTGCTGGCCCCTGTCTGAATAGGATTCTTTCCTTTATTTCCTCCTGATCCAAAATGTTGTATTACTGGCCTCAATATGCCAGTCAGCTGTGGGATGTGTAAAGAAATGGAAAGCTCAGAAAATACATACGCAGAATGGAGTTTTTGCAGTAAAACTGATGTGCAGGTTATGTTACTGGAACAAGCCTACATTTGCGCTTTATTGTGCACCGGAACAAATAGACTTAACCCATACATTAGCATATCTAAGGTATGTATGGTTTGCAACACAACGTGAAACACTGGCATAATTACAGCAGTTAGCTTGATAACAGAGGGAATCAGGAAGGGAAATCACGTTTGTGTTGTAGCCCTCTTTAATAGTCAGCTGGCTTAAGAAAGAAATCCTTAGGACTAATTTTCTAATGATCTTTGGGAAGAAAAAGCAAAGTTAATTTAGTTGATGCTTGAGCTTGATCATTGAATCAGATGGTAATACAGCTTACTAGATATCTCCATTAAAGTTACTCGTGGTTCTTTCAAAGCTGTTCAGATTTGACTTTTTAATAGGAAGTTCTGGTCTGTTGTGTTGGCTTTGACCTTAGTCATTAGTCATTCCTCTTTTTTTTAATTATTTTTTTTCTGTGAGGTCATAATCCTAAAGTCTAATTGAGGCACCTTTGAGCTTTCAATAAACAATGAAACATGGAGGCTGATCATCCTACTTGTTAGAGTCTATCAAGGAGATTATTGGTATTTGAAGAGTTGATTAGTATATATGTAGTAAGACCCTTATTACCTCAGATTCTTAATCTTTATTATAATAACAAAAGTTATTATAATTTTTTTTTAAGAGAGGAAAAAAGGAATGTTGTAATCATCCTTAGACTAATGGTGAGACAACATATGTTTCTCTGCTAACCCTCTCCATTCTTCTGAGTTTGTATACAAGGAGGTACAAAATGCTGTAGACAAGGGATACTGTCCTATTCCAGAGCAGAATGTTTGTGGCAATACACGTTTTAAGAAGGGAGAATGAGGGGCCAAATCATTTGTAAGTACGGAAAGCCAGAGGACAAAGTTTATTTGTGAACTAAGAAAAAAGTTATTTTCAAAACTCGAGAGTGGGAAACATCTTGAAAGGAAGAAACGTTTTGGAAGTAGGTGTACTTCTGAGCATACATGTAGGCAGCTAAGTAGCACATAAGTTTGTTCTTGTGTGGGTACTTAGCCCATACGTATACTCAGCCATTACCAGGTCCTGTATGTGGTGTTACAGCAAAGTAGAATACTCTTCTCATTTCCCATAAGCATTGCTGTTATAGAAAATGTAATGAAATGACAGAAATATAAATTAGAAACATCCTGGATTATATTTCATTTTGCCTGTCTTACCTAGCACTGATTTCTTTTAATTTGATTGATGCAGGTGTTTTGTGCATTAGGTAATGCTCATTTACAGCTTTGTCTTTTCATCAAGCAGTTATTAAGCAGAATTTGATTATCCTGAGTTTTACTTCATTAGATTTTGCATTTATCACCTTTATCATTTCTCTGTGAGCTTCTTTGCCCCTCAAATCAACTATTATGGCAAGACATACAACTTCCAAATAAAACAATTAATAAAAGCCATTTAGTCCACTTTATTGAAATGCTTATCTCTGTATTTCTTTCCACATCCCCTACATTTTAAGATAATGGCATATTAGTTCTGATCAGGTCCCTAATTCTTGCATTATGTTTAAGTTTCTGTCTTAATCGGACGTAGATTGATGTAGTCAACTCTGTGACATTTGCATAAAACTCCAGTCATCTCAGTATTTCTATTACAATCTTCAACCACTTTGTGATGAACAGATCCAGTGTCCCTCATAATCTGGAACTGAAACATTAGATCCAGATCCCTGTGTAAGTGAAAGACATTTTTAATGCAGAATTTTTGAATTCAGCCCTGTCTTGTGGATGGTGAGACAACGTGGTCCTACCAATGTTGGGCTGACCTGACCTGAAACTGACTTTTAATTCAGTAAGTTTTCTCTTAAGGTGACTTGCTAAGAAAAAGGGAAAACAGATTTTCTTATTCAGATTAATTCAGCTTAATAAAATCACTTCCAGTCTGGTCTTTGCTGGTCCTACACAGACCCAACACATTTTATTGGAGCTCCCTTTGCCTATGTACCTTTGATGATTCTTGACAAACAGCTTTCAGAATGCGTGGTAAAATGTTGCATCTCTGAGCTATGAATGTGTTTGCCATGGTAAGTTTTGTGTGTTGCAGAACTGTTTGTTATTCCCAGTGAGTTCAGATGTTTAACTTCCATTTCATGTCTCTTACAGCAGTGTAAAAAAATTCCACTTGACGTTTCCTTAAGCCAGTCCTTTAAAGAGGAGCTAGGGCAGATGCATACATACAATAAGGCAGTTCTAGTGCCTATCAAAACTGAGTAGGTGAATCTAGGCCTACCTAGAGGAACTATTCTGCTGATGTTAGTACTGGTGCAGTCTCAACTTGGTTATGTGAGGTTCAGAGGAACAGAGCTGTCACAAAGCACTGTTACTGACTGTACATAGGAACACTCGTAGTGCAAAATAAAAATCAGCAAGATAAAGCAGTAATGCATCACAATGCATAGATAAATGTTAATTTAAATGACTGAGAAAGAGAAAACAGGTCATAAACTTCCCATTTTTAATAATACTTTTAATAACGTATTTTTATAACACGGAATATCCTTTTGAAGTGAATGGTAAAGTTTGCACTTCTAATTAAACTACCTTACTTCTTTTTCTTGTGTTATTGCTAAACAGAACCTTTTCTTCATAAGCTCAGTATTTTATTAACATTAGTGCTTCTGGGGAGACAATGATGAAATATAAATTGCTATTCATTTGTCTGTGTATATTTGATTTTTGTTGTTGTTCATGGAGGCTTAGATTTTCCTTTCTTATTTGGGTGAAACCAAATGGTTGTCATAATCTTTATTTTCAGGGTCAATATATCTAGTAAGTGTGGAATTATGAAAGCTAGCAGATGCTACTGTGTCATTAGTGGTTTTCAGCCTTTAAACTATCGATCAGAAATTGCATCTGAGTTCTCCATTCAGAGATAGCATGTAATGCATTATTGAAGGTATTTCTAAGATAGTGGGAAGTGGCAATATCAAAAATAGTGAGAATATAAAATGTCTATAACCTCCAGATATTTTGCTGTCTACTTTTCATAAAACTAGTTTTTAGAAATCTGTTTTGTACTATGATGTACTAATGATGGTCATTCTGTCAAGGTTTTATCTGTATTTTAAGTGTTTATATCTGTGGTGATTATCTCTGAATGTGGATGTTATTGATCTATAAATGAAACTCAAAAGAGCATTGCTTGTATTGCCACAACAAACCTGTCGGGAAGTGGGCAGGTTTCAGTGGATAGGTAAGAGGCCTTTAGGTTCTTCTGTTAATAGCATATCATCTGTATAAACTTAAATAATGTAATCCGTTGTTTTAGGAAATATCACCATAATAATTAGTATAAATGAGCTTAGTACTACAGTGAGGCCAAATATGAGGAATTCAATCTCATATATTTTTTCAGCAGAGTTTTAGTTGTGGATTATAGAATCATTGAATCATTGAAGTTGGAAAAGACCACTAAGATCATCACCTAGTCCTACCATTGAACAGTCCCACCATGCCTGCTAATCCATGTCCCTCAGTGCCACATCCACGTGTTTCTTGGACGTCTCTAGAGATGGTGACTCCACCATTGCTGTGGGCAGCCTGTACCAATGCCTCATTATTCTTTCCAAGAAGAAAAATTTCACAGTAACCAATCTGAACTCTTCTGGCACTGCTTCAGGCCACTGCTTCTCCTCCAATCACTCTTTCTTGGGGGAGATCGACTCCCCCTACACCACAACCTGCTTTTAGGCAGTTGTAGAGAGTGTAAGATCTCCCCTGAGCCTCCCCTTTTCCAGACTGAACAATTCCAGTCCCCTCAGCTGCTCCCTTCAGACTTCTGCTCCAGACCCTTCACAGTTTCATTGCCTTTCTCTGGACGTGCTCCAGGGCCTCAGTGTCTTCCTTAGAGAAGGGCTCAAAATAGAATGCAATACTTGAGGTGTGGCCTCAACACTGTCAAGTACAGAGGGGTGATCACCTCCCTGCTGCTGACTGTGCTATTTCTGATGCAAGCCATGGTGCTTTTGAT